CAAATAAATGTGTCTATTTTATATTTTATTTATATTTTGTATTCATTTGTATATACATAACATATATTTTGTATATATTTCAAAAACATTTTTAGATATTTAGTAATAAATACATAATCTAAGGCTTTAATATGACACTATTTCATATTAAAATTGGATCACTAGGCTGGGTGCAGTGGCTCATGCCTGAAATCCCAGCACTTTGTGAGGCCGAGGTGGGCAGACTGCTTGAGTTCAGGGGTTTGAGACCAGCCAGGGCACATGGCAAAATCCTGTCTCTACAAAAAATAGAAAAATTATTTGGCATGGTGGTATACCTATAGTCCCAGCTCGTCGGGGACGGAGGCAGGAGACTCACTTGAGCCTGAGAGGTGGAGGCTGCACTGAGCCGAGATGACACCACCGCACTCCAGCCTGGGTAAAAGAACCAGACCAGACCATGTCTCAAAAAAACGCCAAAAACAAAAAAAACGTAATTACTAATTGATATGGTTTGGCTGTGTCCCCACCCAAATCTCATCCTGCAGTTCCCATAATTCTGACATCATAGGAGGGAACTGGTGAGAGGCAACTGAATCATGAGGGTGGTTCCTCTAATGGTGTTTGAGTCTCATGAGATCTGATGGTTTATAAAGGGCAGTTCCCCTGCAAATGCTCTCTTGCCTGCCACCACGTAAGACATGCCTTTGCTCCTCTTTTGCCTTCTGCCATGATTGTGAGGCCTCCCCTACCATGTGAAACTGTGAGTCAATAACACTTCTTTCCTTTATAAATTACCCAGTCTCAAGTATATCTTTATTAGCAGTGTGAGAAGATTAATACAGTAAACGGATTATGACAGGAAGATGTGGGAAAGTTTGGAACTTCCTAGAGACTTGTTGAATGGCTTTGACCAAAATGCTAATATTGATATGGACAATGAAGTCCTGGTTGAGGTGGTCTCCGATGGAGATGAGGAACTTACTGGGAACAGAAGCAGCAAAGGTGGATTTTTGCTATGCTTTAACAATGAGACTGGAAGCATTTTCCCCCTGCCCTAGACATCTGTGGAACTTTGAACTTGAGAGAGATGATTTAGGGTGGTGGAAGAAATTCTAAGCAGCAAAGCGTTCAAGAGTTGAGTTGGGTGCTCTTAAAAGCATTCAGTTTTATTCATTAACAAAGACATGGTTTGGAATTAGAACTTATGTTTAAAAGGGAAGTAGAGAGTAAAAGTTTGGAAAATTTGCAGCCTGACAATGCAATAGTAAAGAAAAAACTATTTTCTGAGAAATTCAAGCCAGCTGAAGTAATTTTAAAAGTAATGAGGAGTCAAATGACTGCGAAGACAACGGGGAAATTGTTTCCAGGGCATGTCAGAGGTCTTCATGGCAGCCCCTCCCATCACAAGCTAGGAGACCTAGGAGAAAAAAATGGTTTCATGGGCCTTGCTGCTTTGTGCAGTCTCAGGACTTGGTACCCTGTGTCCCAGCCATGGCTAAAAAAGGTCAATGTACGGCCTACCCTTGATGGCTTACAAGTGATATTGGGTCTGTGGGTAAACTGAAATCAAGAATTGAGGTTTGGGAACCTCCACCTAGATTTCAGAGGATATAGAGAAATGCCTAGATGTCCAGGTAGAGATGTGCTACAAAGGTGCAGCCCTCATGGAGAACCTCTCTGCTAGGGCAGTGCAGAAGGGAAATGTGGGGTGGGAGTTCCCACATGGAGTCCCCACTGGAGCACTACCTAGTGGAGCTGTGAGAAGTGGGCCACTAGAATGATAGATCCATTGACAGCTTGCACCATGTACCTGGAAAAGCCACAGACTCTCAATGCCAGCCTGTGAAAGCAGCCAGGAGAGGGGGCTGTACCCTGCAAAGCCACAGGGGCAGAGCTGCCCAAGATCATGGAAAACTACCTCTTACATCAGTATGACCTGGATGTGAGATATGGAGTCAAAGGAGATTATTTCTGAATTTTAACATTTGACTGCCCCGCCGAATTGTGGACTTGCATGGGGCCTATACCCCCTTTGTTTTGGCCAATTTCTCCCATTTGGAATGGGTGTATTTACCCAATTCCTGTATCCCCCTTGTATTTTAGAAGTAACTAACTTGCTTTTGATTTTACAGGCTCATAGGCGGAAGGGGCTTTCCTTGTCTCAGATGAGACTTTGGACTATGGACTTTTGAGTTAATGGTGAAATCTGGGGGACTGTTGGGAAGGCATGATTGGTTTTGAGAACATGAGATCTGGGAGGGGTCGAGGCAGAATGACATGGTTTGGCTGTGCCTCACCCAAATCTCATCTTGAATTACACTTCCCATAATTCCCATATGTTGTGGGAAGAACCCTGTGGGAGGTAATTAAATTATGGGGGCAGTTACCCCCATACTGCTTTTCTTTTAATAGTGAGTGAGTCTCACAAGATCTGACCATTTTATAAAGAGCAGTTCCACTGCACATACTCTCTTGTCTGCCGACACATAAAATGTGCCTTTGCTTCTCCTTGGCCTTCCACGATAATTGTATGGTCTCCCCAATCATGTCAAACTGTGAGTCAATTAAACCTCTTTCCTTTATAAATTACCCAGCCTTGGATATGTCTTTATTAGACACCATGAGAACAAACTAATACACTAACAAATACATTGAAAATTGAGGCCCTTTATTAAATTGATTCTAATTTAATAAAAAATGCAAAGATAATTTTTTTAAAAATTAGTTAAATGCTCTCAGAATAGCAGATCTTTAAGAGAATACTAAAACCTTCTCTAACCCCAAAGCGTTCTTACATTTATAAGGTTTATGAATTGTGATGGCAATAGAAGAGAAGGTGAGAGAGAAAACGAAACTCCAGGAAGAGAGAACACCAAGAGTAAAATCATGACTTCTCAAAATTGCATAGTTTATGAGGGGCATGTCAAGCTAATCTGGTATGTGACTACAATATAGGGTGCAGTAGGGAAATAGCTGAGGATGGAAAAGTGGGATAGGGTCATTTGGAGAAAAATTGTGCTACTATACTTAGGAGCTGGACTTTATTCTAAAGGCAACAGGAAAGCTACTGAAGACTTTTAACCAATAGAGAGCTGTGACTAGATCTCTTTTTATTAATGGAAAGACAGCAGTTCAGTTGTACCTTGGTATCTACTGGGAGATTGGTTCCAGGATTCCTGCAAACACCAAAATCCATGGATGTTCAAGTCCCTTATGTAAAATGGCACTGTTATTTGCCTATAACATATGCACATCCTCCCAATACTTTAAATCATCTCTATATTAATTATAATGCCCAATATAAAGTAAATGCTGTGTAAACAGTTAAACTGTTTTTTTATTTGTATTACTTTTTAATGTTGCATTGTAATTTTTACCCCCAAATATTTATCCATAGTTGGTTGAATTCAAGGATGTGGAGCCCATGGATACACAGGGCTGACTATATATAGGGTGAATTAGAAGAGTGAGAACTTAGAGGACAGAAGGCAAAGAAGTCAAGTACACTGGCCTTAAATAGTATAAAAACAGTGAAAATGCAAACAGGAAGTATTCTAATGACATTTAAAAAGTCATGAAAGGCTGGACTTGGTGAATGGGCAAATATAATGAATAAGAATTTCAAACCCTGATGAGTGAAATGGGTGAATATTGATGGTTTCAAGGCAAAGACTAGCGTTTTAATCACTCTAAGTGCAAAATGCTTCCTGAAATCCAGGTAGCAAGGTCTATTAAATAGCGAGAAATATGTGGCTAGAACTCAGAGAAGTGAGATATAAATACAAGGAAAAGCATATGATTACTTTTTTTATGATTTATGAAATGAGTCATATTACCTTAGACTTATACCTGTTATTAAAGTAAATTTCTAATTGAGTGGTATCCATGTAAACTATGGGATGGCATTGTACTGTTAGGTTTAACTCTTAGTCAATTTAGATTATTTGTCCACCTCAAAAACACAGAACTAAAATTTGCTGGAAAGCATATGACTTATGTTTCATATACAAATAGGGATTAAGACATTTAAAATATATACATACACATATTACACACACACACACATATATATATCTATATATATATATTCACATTTCATTTGAAGTCAAGCCAAAATTATAAAAGATATATTTATGAGACAAAAAAATTTGAGAGTTTACTAATAATGAAGGCCAGGAGTACCAATGATTATTAATAACTACAATTGGTATAACTTCACATTTATAAAGTCTCTCAAATAAATGTTTTTATCTCTACAACCTGTCTATGAGGTAGGCTAGAGCTGGTACTAACAATAACAATAGCAAGAATTAGAATAACATACATAAATTTAATACAATTTAGTTTATTGTCTGCACATCCTCCCCAAATTTCTAGAATAAACTAGAGATCTTAGATGTTCTTATTTGGAAATTTATATTTAAAATTGGAACTTTCCTGGCATGAATAAACTAGATTGGAACACTATTGAATTTTCTAAAATTTTCTGAAACATGGAAAAGGAAAATATAGACCAAAGAAATTTAATGCTTTTCCACTATGAAAAGCATCCAATCTGGTCTAGAGATATAAATTAGGTACCATAAATGTTTGCTAATTATTACACAAAGTTAGAATCCTAAGGAAAAGTCTGGTCGAATTATTATGTCATTTTAACTCTGGCCATGTATGAACCTTATAAAACTTTCAAATTGCTGGCATTAATTTTGCCTTTACAAACTATTTTAAATCAAATTCCATTCCAAAAGGACAAATAGTCATCAAAGGTTCTTAGTTCTGTGATAATTCCCTGAATTTCAGTTTTTAGAAAACACAGCATTATCTAGATATAGAATTTTAAATACTATTCTCATGTATCTAAAGGCTGAGCCTACAAGCTGAAAAGTCTCATATCATTCATGTTTTGTAAAGACTGGAGCCTCTACATATCTCAAAGTCAGCCTCTTACATCTGTGTATTTTAGTATTTTCAAGAGTTGAAACGTGTTTAAAAAATAAACAGGAAACAGGAATACTTACTTGAACCTGGTAGGTGAAAGAGGAGTAGGAGGAAACATTCCTGGTTCAAAAGAATCAAAGTAAGTCACTGTCCAAGAAAAGCTGCAACAGGAGAATCCAGCAGTTAGGGATATTATAAGTAGAGTCCAGAATCCTTAACAGGAAAAGAGAGGGGAAAAAGTAGATTATTAATACCAAACAATTTAAATTAAACCAGTATTCTCATGTTCAGATCACATATAATTCTCATCTACTAAATTATAAGAAGCTGACATTACAAGAGATTTGAACTTAGTGCAAGCTAACCCATGTAGAAGTATATATTACTAAAGCACAACTAGAAGTCATATCATTGAATATTTTAAATGATAATGTGAAAAAAAAAGGGGTAAATTCAACAAGAACATAACATCTTCAGTTTTGTAAAATTCAACCACAGAAAACATCGTCAAAATATTTCACAAGATTCATAACATGTCTTGAGGCCAGACCAGCTGGCTCATTCCTGCAATCATAATGCTTTGGGAGACTGATGTGGCAGAATGGTTTGGGGCCAGGAGTTTGAGGTTGCAGTGCACCACGATTGTGCCACGATTGTGCCACGATTGCACCATGGCACTCCAGCCTGGGAGACAGAGTGAAACCTTGTTTCAAAAAAAAAAAAAAAGTCAAGTCTTAAGATGTTTCATGTAATTTCATAAATCGTACCTTATCTTCATTATTTGGTATTGATTCATTTCACTCCACACCATGCACTTTTGAAACATGCATCAATTTGGGGGTATCTCCTTTTTACAATTTTCTTACAAACATTATAAACCTACTCTGATTCTTAAACCTTGCTCAGTATATGAACAAAGTTGATTCCCGATTTACAAATGTGTGGGACCCTAGATTTTATTTGCATTGAGTTTGGAACTGTATTTTCTCACAGAAGTCAAGTCAAAAGAACGCTATTACAATGGGCTTTAGGAAAAGGGTTGAGAAGAATAGAAGGCATAAAAAGAAAGGGGTAAGTTAATTTAAAGGTTTTTAGATACTATTCATAACCCATTAAGAGTAATAAAAGAATAATGACTTGTTCTTGTGGTTACAATAACGAAATACTGATATTTAAGTGGCCAACTCCCTTTAGTAAGTACAGCTTTATTTTGATGTGAAGTTTTCAAAAATTTTATACATTAACTCACTTATTCATCTACTCAATCTATATTGAGGGGCTACCATATGTTGGTTATTGTGCTAGGTGATGGGGATACAGTGGTGAGGAAAACAAAAAAGATTGCTGTCTTCATGAAGTAATTCTAGTGGGACAGAAAGATAATAAACATGCAAATAAATTAACAAGATAACTGTATATTGTGATAACTATTTTGAATAAATAAGATGTTACCACTTTAAGAAGGTAACATCAGAACTCAGATCAAAAATGTGAACACATTTTTCTTGGAAGATTAACAGTTAATTCTAAAATTCACATGAAATAATAAGTAAAAATAGAGACTAGTCCAACCAGACATTGACATATTATAGGACCTAAATACCTAAAACAGTGTGTACTGATAAACAAACAGATGACAGGGCCGGCCGTGGTGGCTCATGCCTGTAATCCCAGCACTTTGGGAAGCCGAGGCAAGAGAATTACTTAAGGCCAAGTAAGGGTTTGAGACCAGCCTCGCCAACATGGTGAAACCATCTCTATTAAAAATACAAAAATTAGCCAGGTATGGTGGTGCATGACTGTAATCCCAGCTACTTGGGAGGCTGAGGAAGGAAAAGTGCAGTAAGCCAAGATAGCGCCACTGCACTCCAGCCTGGCGACACAGTGAGACCCTGTCTCAAAAACAAACAAAGACACAATGGAACAAAGCAGAATACAAGATCTGGAAGAAGGCAGAAGGAGGCCCAAATAGATTAATACAAAATTTTACTAATTCAATGGGGTGACCACTTACAAAAAGGAAAATAAGCTGGATCCATACCAGATACTCTGTACTGGCTAAATTTCACCAAATAATCTAAAGTTGTAGAAAGAATCACTGGAAAAGTCATTTATAGCTTTGGAGAGAGAAAGGCCTTTCTAACCATAATACAAAATTCATGACCTATATAAGACATAACATTTCAACTATATACAGTCAGCCCTTCCTATCCACAGGTTCTATATCTGGATGCAAAATATTTGGAAAAAAAATAAAAGTAACAATACAACAATAAAAATAATGCCAATCAAAACCAATACATTATAACAGCTATTCACATAACAGTTACATTATATTAGGTATTACAAAGAGTCAATGGGAAGATGTGGATAGGTCATATACAAATACTATACAATCTCATATAAAGGACTTGAGCATCCACAGATTTTGGTATCCAGCGGGGTTCCTGGAACCAATCCCTCAGATACTGAGAGACAACCATATATAGGTAGACACACATACTACCATATATGAATAGCAAAATCAAATGTCAAACTGAACAACATAAAAATTTTAAATAATATACATTTGCAACTTAGAGCAAGAAGGGAAAATCTCCTACAATACAGATTAATTCCTAGAAAACAAAAAAAGGCCAGCAATCCAAAACCCAATATATAAATAGTTAAATACAACTGCAGAATAAAAACTATAAATGTTGGAACATGAAAAGACGCTCAATTCAATACCATTAATAATAAAGAGAGATTATCATTTTTTTCATCATCAACCGACAAAAATCAAAAAGTTGGATAACATTCTCTGATGCTAAGGCTGTGAACAGAAAATCTTCATGCATCGTTGTTTTGGGGAGTAAATTGTTACAATTTCTACGGAGAGCGGTTTGGCAGTATCTGTTAAAACAATGCATGTATATGTTCTTTACTCAAGTAATTTTGTCCATCTTTAGGAGAGCATGCCTCTGTATACTGTACTAAAAAATACATACCTGCATAAAATGATGTATATACAAGGTTGTTCTTTGTAGCTTTGTTTGTAATTATATAAATTGGAAACAATCTAAATAATCAGTAATGAAGGTAAAGGATTGATTAATTAAGTACACCCATATAATCGAATACTATGCAGCTTTAAAAATGAATGAGGAAGCTCTTTATGTACTGATATGTAAAGATCCTGAAAATATACTGGTGAATCCAAACTGAAGGCTCAAAAACATCTCTATGCATTTGTATAAAAAAAATATGTATTGTACACATACATATGCTGTATATATGAAGAAATGTATATTGTAGTTAGATATTTAAAAATATTTCTGGAAGGATGTAAGAATTTAACATTGGTTCTCTGGGGAAGGAGGAAAGAGTGGTTGGGAGGAAAGAGTAAGCCTTTTCAGTCTATACTCATTTATACTTTTTGAATTTTGGCCCATATGACCATTCTACCTATTCAAAATAGAACTAAGTAAGCTTATAAAAAAATTTTTTTTCAGTCAGGCAGTCCTTTTTGAACAGGAGAGTCGTATCAGAATCTTTGTGGACTCATTTTCAAACTGCATCTTTAAGACAGGTTTCTGAAGTGTGTGTGTTCCAAGCCTCAAGAATATAGGGAGGAATCATTGAGAACACTAGCAGATGACTTAGGAATTACCAAATTTCCTGACTACACAAAATTATCCACGAGTCTTTAGCAAGAAGCAAGTAAAATGTATATGCATTGGACTGTCTGTAAATCTTGTGAAGCTCAGTAACAGACTGAAAAAAAAAACAGTTGAAGTACAGACTCAGAGGAATTATTTACAAACAGTATGGTAATTTTTGAAAGATTAAATTAATCTCCTGATTGTTCCCTTCTCCCATCCCCCACGTCAAAGAGCTAATGGGCTCTTGCGTTCCTTTCTCCAGAAGAGGGATGTGGCAAAGCAGAAAGGAGAAACAGCTTTTCTACTTTTATATTGCAAAATATTTACGGAAACACATACAGATATAATCAGGGGTAGGAGTGTGGATACAAAAAATGTCTTGAATGCACAGCAAAAGACAATAAGTTGATTGGAGTACAGATAAAATATTTGTGTGGAACAGGGAAAAAGAGAGTAAAGGGTTTATCCACAAGTGAGAAAGATTTCCCTGGTTTAAATAAAGTATGTTGTATGTATGTTTGCACTGTGTGTGAATGGGAAAAGGGAGTAGTGCTACTGGGGCTTAATGACAAAGCATCTAGAAAAGCCCACACAAACCCACACAGGGAGTGTAGCTGTGTACAGTATCTCGGTAGATAAGTACAGAGCCAAGCCTGCAGATGCTTCTGCCCTAAGCTAGGCATAAAAACAGCAGATGGTCATGTGACTGGAAGTTGCTACATCCGCAAGACTATCCTGACCACAATAAAAGTTGTTTCAATCCTCACTTGAGCAAATGTGTTTGAGGTTTAGTCTGCACCTTCACTCCAATATCCTGGCACAGTATGCACTTCTAGCTCCCCAACCCAATCTGGAATTGGGTGAACAGAACCTTAGAATAACCTTCCTACCAACCCATCACGCTAGAGGGTCAAAAAAGAAATTATAAGATTTAGTGTACAACTACAACTTATGGGTTGCTATATTGTCAAATAACTGTTATTTGCTATTATTTAGATGACTATGTCTAAAGAGGGAAGAAAATAATTGACAGGTCTAAAGAGAGGAGATAATTGACAAGTTTACTCAAACTTTAACATACTTCTCCAGAACAAAGATGGCAGTTAAGAAAAATAGTGTTTGGGGACCAGATGAAACTTCTAGGTAAGTGAGGAAAGACACAAAGTAACATAAAATAACCAAATGTGAGGCCTTCTAAAGCCTATTAAAGTTTTTCACTTGGATATTTTAATAGGGTACCTATCAAATTTAATACAAGAATATTCTTGGGTTTTTCCAAAATTATTCCACAATCTAAGTATTTACCTCACAGTGAGCATTTTAATTATTTTATGTTCATTTTAAACTAATTAAAAGTTGCATCATCAATAAGTCAGGTCGCAATGATAGGGCTAAAAAAAGTACATTGCAATATTGTGGTCTACAAGTGCTTATGATTTGGGAAATTACTCAATTCGTTTACAAATAAGCAGAAAAGCCACAGAAATTGATAACTTCCAACAACTAAATTTGTTACAAGTCAGTTATCTGCAGAATCCTCATGCTAAAATTTTGATGTTTTATAAGCCC